AAGCAAAGATGAGTAGACACATTCCCTAGTCTCACGGACCTCAGATCTAAAAACATTCTCTGCAGACATCATCAAATCAGAGAAATTTCAGGAAGTTGGAGAATGACAGTTTTTCATCAACCCTTGGATGTGGTGTTATTCTTTCAATCTGCTTGGGCAGCACACCCAAAAGTCAAATCTCCAGCAGGCAAAGAACAACTCTTAACCATTCAGCAAACATCGACTATGTACAGTTGGAAGAAGTCAACTTACAAGAGAGTCATAGGCACTGTTAGAGACCAAAGGACCTTCAAGGAGTCACAAAGTCAGACTCTCAAAAGGCATCCATACTACAATTCACCTCTTCCTGTCAAAAGCCAGTAAAGTCTAGAAAAATCTCTCCCACTACAGTAGCACAGAGCATCCTGGGCAATCATACCACACACAGCAGGCACGCCTGCAAAGCTGGAGAAACAGCACACTTGAGAGAAACTTCCACCTCTACATGCACCATAACACCCGGTATAAAGAGAAACAGCTCAAGCTGTGGAAATACAGGTTAAATGGACTCTGCTCTTAAGAGCACAGAGTTGAGTATCTGCAGACGAAACTGTTAATCTCTGCAATCTGTTAGTTTAGTTCATACAAAACCAGACTGATAGGAGAGCAATAAGGCCAGAACTAGAGAAAACAGCTCTCAGAGCCACAACCAGCCTGGTGAGGAAAGTGTGAGTTAATTCAGGAACAAAGCAATATTGGAGAGTGAAGAGTGTACACAGGAGAGATGTGAACACTGCAGAAAGACTGAGGTCAGGAGAAACAAAATGAATTAAATTCAGTAGTACAGTGGAAAGCTTTTTCCAAAGATCTGGAAAGTCAGTTGAAACAGGAAGCAGCAGTCAAGAAGCTGCTTCTACTCTCCCATAAGAGGGAGGGACACCCAGGAGACAGTGGGAGCTGGACTAGCAGAGCTGAGGTTTGGGTGGATACTAAATCCAGCTTGCCCAGACCTTGAGACCCCTCCCTTCACTTTACAACATTATTCATCATAATGAGAAAAACCACACACAAATGAAGTTAATAGCAACCAACAAGTTCTCTCAGGAAGAGTGTGTGCAGCGGGGGTGGGATAAGAACATGAAGAAGATTTCAGTTGTGTATAAAATGGCTAAACTTTGCATGCTTGAGAGAGCCTCTGTGTGCTGTGTATATCCCAAAGACTCCCACTGGTTTGGGTGTAACTGATGCCACAAAAATCTTACATATCTGTTACCACCAGTGAATAAAAGGCATTGGATAGAAAACAGACCTCTCTTCCTTGTGATTCATGTGAGGAAATGTAGCAACTGGATGACTGAGCCTTTCCAGATGAGTGGCAGAAGGGAAATCAAGGCAACACAGTGCTTGCGTCTTACTGGTAGTGAGGGGACGTGGCACAGTGAGTCACTTTCTGTATGCAGAAACACACAGATGCACACATGCATTTATAACACTCCGTTTACTAGTTCCTCATGGTTAATTCCATGGTGTGCAATGATTTCCAATATATGCATAAAATCTTGTCCATGTCAAAGTCCTGAGTTAAAGTAAAAAGGGTGAAAATGACTCAGGTAATGCTAACAAGGGATATGAGAATCTACAATGTTTCAGTCACCATTCCAGACATCAGGTGCCTCCCTGGTGGCCTAGGGGGTTAAGGCTCAGTGCTGTCACCTCTACAACCTGAGTTCCATCCTGGCCAGGGAGCTGACCCACATCTGGTGAGACCTCTCTTGTCTTACCTCCTGCTTCCCTCAGCAGTGTTTTGCAGTTTATCTGCCTGTTATGCTCCCCATTCTGTCTCTAATGAGGCCCCCATTCCTCTGGCCTACACCCAAACTCTTCTACACAAAAATAAATTAAAATTAGAGAAAAAAAAAGATTCTCTCATTTCAATGGGCATAAGTGCATGGAGCAGAATGGGAGGCCGACCAAACTATACATTTTAATTATCATTTTCAACTCCGGTCCTTCCAGCTTATGACTGATTCGGGGAATGAAAAGCTTGCATGGGTGACTCCATCATGTACAAGCCCCAAGCCTGGCAGCATGAAGAGGTCTCTGCTCTGAACTTATACCCCAGCAGCAGACCCAAGCAGTAGGGTGTTTGCTCCTACAACAGAGCTCTGCCTGGGTCATGCCTCACACCCCAGTTTCCCTCTGAATTCAAGCCCAACTTTGGCTGGAGGTTTTCTTCCTGGGAGCCAGGCTTTGTCCTAGTTCCCCTGGGTATCTTTTTCATCCAGCTACTCCTGAATCAAGGTATGAAAATCGATCCAGCTGGCATCAGCTCTGCCCGGAGATTCCTGGCTCCAAGAGCTGTCCACTCCCCAAAGTGCAATGCTTTGGAAAGAGAGCTCACTTCAGAGTGAACACAGAGTACACTCTTCCCCAAGAACAGCCTGTCATGTTTGGGAAACCAGCCTTACAACCAGCTCAATTGCTTGTCTCTGGATGTAACCAGAGGGGTGGCAGGAAGGTGTGTCCCTGCTGAGGTTCAGGGATCGATGGGCTGGAGTCAGGAGACTGGGAGCCTGTGGCCTTTCATGGCACACACCATGGAAGGTTACAGAAGGCCTGCAGCTTGATCCTCTCCTTCCTAGAGAGCAGCACGAGACCACTGTGCCTGTGGAACCCGCAAGCCTGCGTTCACATGTGAGTCAGGTGACTGGAAGTCAGTACCAGGAGAGCAGGGATAATGGTGCTTCCATTCTCCCCTTGCTTCCCTAGTGCCAGCCTGGGCACGAGGGCCTGGTATACAGCACATGCTCACTTAATTTATGTCCAAAAGTGATTTGATTGACTAGAGAGAGGAGCTAAAATAAGTGGAGGGTGATTCTTCAGCTGTGCTTCTGCTCATTTCAGTACCACTGTGCCTGGACTTGGGGGGGGGGGCAACGAACATGCCTGTGTCCTCACATGCAACACTTTTCCTTTCAGTCTTTCAGTGCATTTACCACCTCACTTAGGTGAGTCTACACGTATAAATGAAATGCATCACCTCCAAGGCCCCACAGACAACGCCCGCCGCAGTGGGGTCAGGGCTGTAATCTCCAGCCTGACAACTGAGTAACATGGCTTGAGACATTCTTCTCACCTCAAACGAGGATCCCCTGCTGCCATCCACCCTGCCCGTTTTCCCTCTGTTCTGCCAGTGCCCACAGCTGGTGAGAATCCCAGAGTGTCCTCCAGGATTTTCGAGGTTACTTGCTGGGCTGGCTGGGTATAAGCTGGTCCTTTGAACTGTGGCAAAATACACACCTGTCACTCTTTTCTGCAAAACTCAGTCTTGCCTTGCTCAACCTGGATGGGAGTGGACCCAGGTTAGTGGCCACCTACCAAACACCAATGTGGACAGGCCTTACACACATCTTGCTCTTGGACGTATGGTTGAGTCTCTCCTAAGACAGAGCATTCCTCTTCCTTCCAATGGGTTAATCCAGAGATCTTTTGGCAGGGAGCTTTGTATGAGCCAGCCTTTGCTCTACCCAGTAAGTTTTAGAAAGATACAATCAGGTTAAAAGGAAAGAAGAGTAAGTAAGGGTGAAGGCAGGTAAGAGGGATGATCTTCCCATAGGTATCTGCCTTGGGGTGGGTTGACTGAATGTATCTGAGTGGACAGATGCATATGGACAGAACTTAGTAAACTCCCTCACGCTGCTTTGCCTACTTAGGCCCCTGGGCTCCGTCATACCCCTCTTCACTCCTCTCAATGTGGATCATGGACTCCGCACCATTCCTTTCGAAATTATTAAAATCAGACTCCGGGGTGCAGAAGTGCCTCACTGGTAATACCATTTAGCCCCTTTCCCATGCAGGGACCCCTTAATTCCCCTGAGAGGTAGCCCAGTCTCATATGCCAACCAGGAATCTTCCACATACGCCAGAATGTGAGACACCGGAGGCCCCTGTACATAGCACAGCTCACCAACTATTCAAAGCTGTCCAAAAACAAGCTCTCTGGAAGAAGGGCTGGAGAACCTCAATTTTCTTTTTTTTAAAAGATTTATTTATTTGTGCATACAGAACTGGGGTACAGGCCAGAGGTGCAGGAGCGGTGAGAGGATTCACCGGAGACAGAGTAGGGAGCAGAACATGCAGATCGACAAAAGTACACTGCTGAGGGGAGCAATGGGAGAGACAGAAGAGGTCTGCAGGGCCATGTGGGTCACCTCTGGGGCAGGGATCAAACTCACACTGAAGCTGCTACCGCCAGCTTGCAGTGTTGTGCTCTAACTCACTGCATCACCATGGAGGACCGAGGACCTCAATTTTCTAACAAAAATTCACCCAGTGGGTCCTATAATCCGGCACATGTCTTCTGGTTGTGTCATGTAGTGTTTTTTTTTTTTTTCTTCTCTCACGATTTGTTAATCTACCTAGCATTTACATCTCTGTATAACTCCAAGGGAACATCCTCATACTTCCAGAAGTCCGTGTGTTTCACTCACCCTAATCAGATGGCTCCTAACACTGGTCATGTATCAGAATCATCTAGGAAGCTTTCAAAAAATAAAATCAGTCACAGGCCTTTGCCCCCAGCTATTCCTACTTAATGTTTCTAGAGTAGAGCCCAGGTGGTATAAAATTTAATAACCCCAGCTGATTCTAATGTTCAGGCAGGGCTGAGAACTGCTGGAAGCTCTCCCCCGACCTTTGAAGAGAGCAGCAGGTAGAAGCCTATACCTCTTATACTCCCTCACTGGACCCCACCCAGTACCACGTTGAAGCTGCAGCAGAAAATTCTCTGTAGGTACCAACTTGACTGAACTAGCTTGGCTTACCCAGCCATATAGGATTCCATTTTCTACATTCAGAGCTATGCATTTCCACTTAGGAAGAGGTCAGACACTGGACACATGTGAATTCTTCAGAATTTCCATGGGCCCAGCACTCTCCTCAAACTGATCTTCCCAAACATTGCCCAAAGCCTGACCCAGGCTTCCAGCCTCCCACCCCTGCCCCCCACCTGCCCCACTCACATTGTACAGCACGGTGGTCCACCCTTCCATGGTGATGCACTGGAAGACGGTCAGCACAGCAAAGAGGATGTTATCAAACTGGGTGATCCCATCATTGGGGCCGATCCAATCCCTGCACTCATAACCAGTGGGGCAGCCCTGCACGCCACAAGGGTGAGGGGGGTCAAACCCTTCCAGAATACCTGCAGACAGATTTGGAAGGTGAGTGAAGAGAAACACAGTGGTTGGCATGAGCTGGAGATGACCCAGGAAACCACAGTGACAAAGTTCTACTTCGCACAGCAAGTGTGTCCTTCTGCGTCTCTGGCTCCCTCCTCTCCTTCCGGGCCATTCTGTACCTCACAGCACACATGCCATGTGTTCAACCCAATCATGTTGTCCGATCTTCTCTAAAATGGAGCCTCTCCTCTACCTGGCCCCTCCTCACTTTCTGCAGGCCATGTATTCCTCCTCACCTGAGTGACTGAGCAATACAGAATTTGCAGGACTAGAAGCAGAAAGGCATAAAGTAAAAATATCGCACTGATTTTTCTAACTATGGACTCCAGGACAAACTCAGTTCTTCTGGGTTTCTTGGGGCTAATTATAAACTATAGCCTCTTTAGTGGGTCCTAGCTCCTTGTTCTCTGACCTATATTTCTGGTCTTAAATAAAAGACAAAAATAAAAATCCTAGGTGAAAGGTGTCCTTTGAAGATTATTTTCACAAAACAACATGGTACCTAACTGGGCTTCCTCAACCTCTCCCCAGCTCCGCCCCTCCTAGGGCATGCTAACCAACTTAAAGGGAGCAAACAGGATGCACAGAAACAAGAACTGGGGTTCTGTGTATCCCATCAATCTCCCAAGCCCCCTGTCAAGCCCAGCTCATATTTCCCACCCTATGTTTGGACACAACAAGGGGAGGGGTCGTGAGACAGAGCAGAGTAACCATGTCTCCCCAGTTTTGGGGATCCCCACAACTCTGGGCTCATGTGCAGCATGTGGGTCAAAAAGGCCACTGTATACAAATATTTCTTCAGACATGAGATCTTATAGCCTCATGCCAAATAGACCTGTTGGAAATCTCTGGCTGCAAACCTAAGCGTATTTGCTTTGCTATTATCAGTGGCCAGTGGGGGTCTCACCTAGGCTGGTTGTGCCTTAAAAAGCTGTTAACTAGGAAATTTCTAATTCCAATTCGATGATCAGGGTTAAACATATGCTTGCAACTGGTCTCCAACTGCCCTGAAATTATCCCCATGACCTGGGGAGAGTGGAAGGGAAGAAGCAGAAGACAGGAGTCAGCCTACCTGAATTGTTCATGAAGCAAGCTCGGTGCAACTTCCCACTGTAGAACTCCAGGCCAATGATGGCAAACATCAGGATGGCAAAGAAGAGGAGGAGGCCGATCTGCAGAAGAGGCACCATGGCCTTCATGATAGACTTCAGCACAATCTGCAGGCCTAGAAAGAAGGGAAGAGATTGCACCATCTGCTAAAGTGGACTCCATTTCTACTCTCCTAGGAGGGAAAGGGCAAGTCTTTGGGGAGAAAAGAACTGTTGGTCCTGAGATAACAAAGACATTTTGCTAAAGGGTAACAGGGAAAGTCTGGCCAAAGAGGGCCAACAGGCCTTCCCTAGGGATCATTGCCTTCCGTCTCCTCACCTCTGCACCCTGGTAATTTGTTGGCATATTGCTCTTCCCATGTGGTCACCCATGTCCCCTTCTGGATTCTTTTTATAGATTAAGCTTCTTGGACTGTGCTACTCTCCAAAAGGGAATCAGGCCCAGTCCTGCTAAGTTCAAGGCCCTTGGAGATCAAGGACAAGTTGGCCTTCCCCACCATTCTGTTTCAGACCCGCCACCCAATACATGCACCATCCAGAAAATACCATATCCTGTCACCCAGAAATTGTACTTGCAGAATTCTGGTCTATAAAAATAATCAGAGATTTAAATAATGCTTCAATTAGAGGTGTTGGTTATAGTAGCACTTTCCCTAGCTAGAAAAAATTGGAAACAACCTAAATACCCAACAAAATAGAAATGGCTATGTAAGTCCCAACACATATGAGACAGATTATAATACAGATTTTTAAAAACATATTTTTGAAGAACTTTGAATGTCAGGAAAATCAAATGCTGTATCAGGACTCAAAACAATGATTCCCATCATAGTTAAAATACAGAGGAACAATAAATTAAAAAGATACTAAAACATTAATAAAAGTTCTATCAGAATGATAGGATAGAGTGTTGTTTTCTTTATTTTGCAAGTTTTCTATTAATATCTTTCATTTTTAAATCTAAAGCAAAAAAAAATGCTGCTAAACCATAAAATAAAATGTAAGTTTGTGACACCCCACTATTTATTACTATAGCATTTCCTCCCAGAGGAATCAATGTCATTAATCCCAAATTTTCTCAAGCCCTGTGTCCAGTTAAGAAGATGTGAGTGAAGCCAGTAGCAAAGGGGAAAAAGAGAAAAGGTGAGCTCACTAGGTATCCCTGACACGAGCTTCAGGGGCCTCAGGACACGCACAGCCCGGAGCGTCCTCAAGTCCACGTGTGTGTTGAAGTGGGTTCCCGCCGTGGCCAGGATGCTGCAAATGGAGACACAGAGGGTCAAGGCTCCCACAGACCACCCTTCGCCCTGTTCCATGGGGGAGCTGGCTTGAGCAGACCCAGCCTAGAAAGCACACAGGGCTGATGCCAGCTGTGTGTGGGTGCACCTGAACTCGGTGGTGACTCACCAGTGGTTCCCAGGGGATTAAATTTAGCCACATCTGGGTTTCACTTTGCAAAGAAGAAAAACCTGTCATCAAATTGGAACCCTAGTTCCAGATCATGAGCACAACACAAATTCTCAGCACCTGCCCTGCCTGGTCCCCAAGCCTGTCCCCTGCTCTCCACTTCAGCCCTTGCCAGTCTCCTCCCTGTTTCCAACCCAGCCCCAAGGCCCTCACATTTTTTTATTTCAGAATTTTCTTAGACTCCCTCTGCATATCTCCATCAGGAAAAGTCTCTGGCTTCACCACAGTAAAACAACAACAACAACAACAACAACAACTCATTCTCCACCGTGAAACTTGGGTTTTCTACCAAACAAATCAGTCACTGCAATGCTTATTACTAGGCAATAACTTCACATACAGTATTTTCCTAATTGTCTCACATCACTATGTGACCTGGATTTGTTTCTTTACTTTCCTTTTCCACTTCCACAGTCCTTTCTAGAAACACACACGCAAACTATACCAAGCCTAATAGTTCATTAGCACCAAATGCCTTGCCTTGAGTAGATAACCCATTTTGTATAATGCCATGACATTGTTGGTACTTTGAAGAGAAAATATGCTTAGGTGTTTATGAAAGACACATCAGAAGACCAAGAATCAAAAAAACTGGGTTTAAGTCTTGATTCATGCCCTAGAGAATGGGGGACCTTGAGGAAAGTCATTTAATCAGTGAACCTCAACACACCCCTCTGCAAAATGGGGGACATACAAGAACATAGTTATAAGAACAAAATGACATAGTGAAAATTAAGGGTGTTCTATAAACTAAAATAGTATTAACATTTAACACAAATATTAATAATATTGGGTTTGCAACATTGTCTAATTTCAGTCTTCTTCCTACAGGATAGCACCTTTACTCCTTCAAAACTTCTCTGGAACAATTTCCATTGGCGAATGAGTGATTCAGAAAAATGAGTTCTCTACATAGTCTCAGGGTGGGCAGAGTGATTTCTTTTATTTAGTTATATGGGCCAGAACTTCCCTGAAATATTTAAAAGCATTGACAGTGACACTCAAGTTGGCTTCATTACTTGAAAGTGAACTGTACAAAAGGTTTGTGCAGTGTGACTCTAGGAAGCAGACAGAGAGACTAGGTACAAATTACACAGAGCCAGCCTACTGTCATGATGAGCAATAACTTGGAAACGAATAGTGTTAGCCAACAACAACCTACTGTTTGAACGTAGTATGTCCCCCAACATGGAAAGGACTCAAGATCAGGCCACACAATCATCTATTCAGGAAGCAAGAAGGTTCAGACATTGGATTGAAGGTGATTTAAATGGCCAATAGAGCTTTTTTTCCATTTTAAGATTCTGTAACTCTATGCTAATCCAATCTCAGAGTAAGAATTAGAGAGAAACTCTTTATCACGAAGAATCTCAAGAGAGGCAACTTTTCTCAAGTCATCTCGAAACTTCCAGCCTGCATCTAACAAGGAGGGACTTGCTTCTGACTCCATGCCAAGGTCAAAGGCAGAGAAATTGGGGAGGGCAATAATAGTAATATATATAAGTTCTAACAAGTGGGGGGGGGGTTAAGGATAAGGAGAGCAAGTCTTGAAAAACAGGACTAAAAACAAGGATACAGTGGCCCTCCCTGGTGGTGCAGCGGGTTAAAGCACAGCACTAAGAAGCTTAAGCCACTTCCTCATGAGTTCTATTTCTATTCCCGCCTGCCCTGGAGGAGATCCACATGGCGTGGCAGACCTCTCCTGACCCGCCTGCTGCTCCCCTCAGCAGTGTACTTCCTCGATCTACTGTTCTGCTCCCCACTCCGTCACTGGTGAATCCTCTCACCCTCCGCAACTCTGGCCTGTACCCCAGTTCTGTATGAATAAATCTTTAAAAAAAAATTAAAAAGAGAAAAGAGAGAGAGAGAAACTTCAAAGAAAGAGTGAAGACTCAGAATTCCAGGAAGATGGGGCCACTGTTCCACTGATTCTATCAAAAAAGGGAGGTACACTATACCCCAAGTCCTCTGGAGGCTCAAGGGGAGACTCGCTTTCCCTCCGTCTTATAAACACAGTAGATAGAACTGGCCCCGCTCAGCAGCCAAATTTCTCTTACCCAGGAGACCAGATACACATGAGATTTTCTTTCCTATCATGGAAAGTGCTGTTGCACAGGGATTTTCACTGGGATTGTGCTGAATGTGTACACCGCTCTAGGTAGAATGACCATTTTGACAATATTGATTCTTCTAATCCATGAATAGGAATATTTTTCCATTTCTTTACTTCCTCTACTTCTTTCAACAATGGCTTTCTTTGTATCAATAGTTTATCTCCTTTGTTAGGTTTCCTTCTAGGTATTTAAATTGGGGGGGGGAGGGAGTGTAATTGCAAATGGGATCACTTTCTTAATTTCTTCCTCTTCTAATGCATGCGTACAGGGAGGTGACTGATTTAAGTATATTGAGTTTATCCTCTGCTACTTCAGTCAAAATTTCTTCCCCACTCTCAAGTTGAACAATGTAGATTTCAGAAGGAGGAAGAGGTAGCAAGACAAACTTAAAAGGCAACAAGGCACAAGTGTAGGGAAAAAAAAGGAAAAATGGTCAAGGGCAAGAGTGGGAGGATAGAGGAGAGAGTAGTGAAAGAAAAAATGGGGATAAAGACAAGAAGAAAAATGAGAACAAATAAAAGCTGGGGCAGGAGAAAATGCCCAAGAGTTAAGAACGTGTTCATGGGAAAGACAACAAAAATCAAAGCTAATCGGAGAGAGAGAAGCAAAACAATAGTATTTATTGTAGGGGCCTGCTCAAGGTGTGGCCAGCCATGAGCTACACCTACAGTCTTCTCAGATTAGCTGGACCCTCTGTACCCCAATCTCCCAAGCTCCCCCAATCCTCAGCCAGCACAGTGTTCCCAGGGCCACTGGATTTTTTTTTCTGTCATCCCCTGCAAGAGGGATATGAACTGGACCTTCAGCGGACGCACGTGGCCACTGGCTACTTCTGATGCTCAATATTCAATTCCTCCTTAAGGACAAGGATTACAGGGCCTTCCTGGTGGCACAAAGGATTAAGCCTCAGAACCATGAAGCTATCAGCAGCCACTGCAGCACTAGTTCGATCCTTACCCCTGGCAAGGGAGGTGACCCATATGGCACAGCAGACCTCTCCTGTCTTGCTCGCTGCCCCCCTCAGCTGTGTACTTCATTGATCTGCCTGCTCTGCTTCCTGCTCTGTCTCTGGTGAATAATCTCACCCCCCATACCTCTGATCTGTACCACAGTTCTTGTATGCATAAATAAATAAACCTTTAAAAAAAAAAAGCACAAGAATTACAATTTGACTACTCTGTCTACCCTGTTAGACACCAAGGCAAAGGAATTCTTAGGGCAAAAGTACTTGAGGAAAAGGACCTGCTCTTTGTGTTCACACTGGTGTGCACCATCAGCACTCTCCAGGGTGACGACCTTACCACTCTTAGAGAAATTCTGTTGTTACATCTGTCTCCCCCAGAAATGTAGAAACACCTCAGAGTTTTGTCTTCCTCCTCTACATCCCTTACACCTAGCCCAGGTTGTGAAGAAAGAGCCTCAATAATTGCTCGATAGTTCAAACTACTCTGATGAAGGCAACAAATATTGTGAGGTATAGATCCAACAGATATAGCACAGAACCCTGGGCCATCCAGTGAAAGGCACAGGATACCCAGGAGCATTCTAGAATCTGCCCTCCAGTATTTCAGTCTAGTGAAAGCCTTGCAACCTGCTTCCAGACTCTTGTCCTCACAGATCCCACAGGTCAGGATGTGTCCAGTGTCCAATGGAAGAGAGAGAGTGGAGGGAGAGGGGTGACTACAGGGAATGGAGAAGACCCAAAATTTAAAAACCTGCCTCCAGGGCCCTCCCTAGTGGGGCAGCAGGTTAAAGCACAGCACTGAGAATCCAAAGCCACTTCCTCATGAGTTCAATTCCCGCCTACCCCGGAGGTGACCACATGACGAGGCAGACCTCTCCTGGCCCGCCCGCTGCTCCCCTCAGCAGTGTACTTCGTCGATCTGCCTGTTCTGCTCCCCACTCTGTCTCTGGTGAAGCCTCTCACCACCCCTGAGCCTCTGGCCTGTACCCCAGTTCTGTATGCACAAATAAATAAGTCTTTAAAAACCTGCCTCCCAGCAAAACCTAAACAGCGAAGTATACACAGCTCAGCTCCTCGGAGCCTCCTGGCGGGGAGCACCCACACAATAAATGAGGAGGAATGCCGCAGCAGGAGAGGCCCCAGCCCTCAGTCTAGTGGAAGGAGACAGTCACAGACATGACAGGACTATACTCTACCAGAGAAGTGCCCCAACAGAGGTGTTTACAAAGTGCAGATGTGAGGAACACTTAGGAACAAGCAGAGTGCCTACTATGTGCCAGCATGTCCAGATGTATTCCAAACAACTCCTCAGAAATACCCTGACATCACTGTTGTCTGCATTTCATACAAGTTGAACTTGAGGCTCAGAAAATATTAAGCTGCTAATAAACAGCAATACCAGGAGTTAACAGTCAGTTCTCTTCTGGTATCAAATCTTTTCCCTACTCTGAAACGGGCCCTGTGGTGTCTCCTCAACACCACTGTTCTTTAGTCCAGATTGTTGCTAAAAATGCTGAGGTCACAGTGCTCAGTCCCCAATCAAGGCAGTGAAATTGATGCCCTTCTTTCCAAGGCTACTAACCACAAAGTCCCTGTGACCACTCCCAGGCCCATCAGGGAGTAAGGATGCTGAATATCTACAGAAAGAGAGAGAGAGAGATTGAGCATGAACCGCAACTGAGAGCTAGTCCGCTGAGGGTAACTCCAACCCT